CATACCCTTTCCCCTAGTCTGCCTTCCCTTCTATCTCTCCCCCCCTTCTCTTATCCCCTTCTCCTTATACTTTACTGTAGGGCAGGATAGATTTCTGTACCCCATTTCCTGTATTTCTTATTTCCCAGTTGCATGTGAAAACATTTTTTAGACATGTGTTTTTAAAACTTTGGGTTCCAAATTTTCTCCCTCCCTCCCTCCCCACCCACCCTCATTGAAAAGCCAAGCAACTCAATATAGTTATACATGTGCAGTTATGCAAAACACTTCCGTAGTAGACATGCTGTGAAAAACTAACTTATTTCCCTTAATCCTATCCTACCCCCCCATTTATTCTATTCTTTCTTTTGAACCTGTCCCTCCTCAGAAGTATTTGCTTCTGATTACACCCTTTACCAATCTGCCCTCCTCTCTATCATCCCCCTACTCTCTTGTCCCATTCCCCCCCCCATTTTCCTGTAGGGTAAGATAGATTTTCATACCCTATTGAGTGTGTATGTTATTCCCTCCTTAAGTCAAATCCTATGAGAATAAAATTCACTCATTCCCTCTCACCTTCCCCCTTTTCCCCTCCACCTTAAGAGCCTTTTCTTTTCTTTTTTTTTTTGATGAGATAATTTACCCCGTTTTACCTCTCCATTTTTCCTTCTCCTAGCATAATCCTGTCTCACCCCTTAATTTCATTCTCCAGATATGATCCCTTCATCTTCAACTCACCCTGTTCCCTTTATCTAACTATGTATTTATATATATACACATACACATACATATAGTTTTTTTCCCCTTCCACTACCCTAATACTGACAAAGGTCTCATGAGTTACAAATATCATCTTTCCATGCAGGAATGTAAACAGAAATCTTATGATTTCTCTTTCCTGTTTACGTCTTCATGTTCCACTTGAGTCTTGTATTGGAAAGTCAAATTTTCTATTCAGCTCTGGTCTTTTCATCAAGAATGCTTGAAAGTCCTCTATTTCACTGAATGACCATTTTTTGCCCTGCAGGATTATACTCAGTTTTGCTGGGTAGGTGATTCTTGGTTGTAATCCTATCTTCTTTGCCCTCTGGAATATTATATTCCATACCCTGCAGTCCCTTAATGTAGAAGCTACTAAATCTTGTGTTACCCTGATTGTGTTTCCACAATACTTGAATTGTTTCTTTCTGGCTGCTTGTAATATTTTCTCCTTGACCTGGGAACTCTGGAATTTGGCTACAATATTCTAGGAGTTTTCCTTTGGGGATCTCTTTCAGGAGGAGATCTGTGGATTCTTTCAATTTCTATTTTGCCTTCTGGTTCTAAAATATCAGGGCAGTTTTCCTGGATAATTTCTTGAAAGATGATGTCTAGGCTCTTTTTTTGATCATGGCTTTCAGATGGTCCAATAATTTTTAAATTCTCTCTCCTGGATCTATTTTCCAGGTCAGTTGTTTTTCCAGTGAGATATTTCACATTGTTTTCTAATTTTTCCTTCCTTTGGATTTGTTTTACAGTATCTTGATTTCTCATAAAGTCACTAGCTTCCAATTGCTCTATTCTAATTTTGAAGGAAGTATTTTCTTCAGTAATCTTTTGGACTTCCTTTTCCATTTGGCCAATTTTACTTTTTAGGGCATTCTTCTCCTCATTGGCTTTTTGGACCTCTTTTGCCATTTGGGTTAGGCTATTTTTTAAGGTGTTATTTTCTTCAGTATTTTTTTGGGTCTCCTTTAGCAAGCTGTTGACTTGTTTTTCATGATTTTCTTCCATCACTCTCATTTCTCTTCCCAGTTTTTCTTCTACTTCTCTTACTTGCTTCTCAAAATCCCTTTTGAGCTCTTCCAAGGCCTGGGACTGATTCATATTTTTCTTGGAGGTTTTGGATGTAGGAGCTTTGACTGTGTTGTCTTCTTCTGGTTGTATGTTTTGATCTTCTTTGTCACCAAAGTAAGATAATATAGTCTGACTCTTTTTGCACTGCTTACTCATGATCCAGGCCAATTACTGAGTTGTAAACTTTTTGTTAAAGCAAAAGTCTGCTTCTAATGTGGAGAATATACTGTCCGAAGCCTTGGGCATTTGTACAGCTGTTTTCAGAGATACTTATAGGGACCTGTAAATTTTCAGTTCTTCCAAGGT